GCATATAACCTTTAATCCTTTTTATTAACTACATTTATATGACCAAGATGAACATGTCTGTCCCTCTTGATTTTTGACTTGATTTGAACATCATGCTATAAAGATCTTGTCTATTCCTTATGGACCTAATTGCTTTTTGGGATGTTAGTAACATGATAAAATTTACTTGGAAGCATTGATTATTTAATAAAAAGGTATTTGTAATGTGAACAAGTATACATCCTATAATTATATTTTGTTGGGAATAAGTGTTAGATTATGGTGAATGTTGTGCGAAGCCATTTTGGGTATTGTTAAACTAGTATTATTTAGGAAGAATTAATACTTAAACAAAACTAATGGTATATTGTTTCGGATATACATTTGGGTCACATTACAAAATTAAAAATTTGTATTTAGAAATTATTTGAGATTCTGCCATCCTGAGATAGGCTTCTGTGCCAAATGTTGATTTAAAAATTATTTTCCTCAATATGAATTGTTTTACATTATTTTTTATTAGGTAAAATTTTATTATAAATGCATTTTTAATTATCATGGTGGAGCTTATTCATTGTGTTAAATTCTTTATATAATGGCAGGATGTTTGTAAAATGTTTTATTTACATGATAAACTCTTTTCTATCATAGTAGAGTTTTAAAAGAAGTTTTGTTATTTATTATTATGGTAGAAATTTTTCTACCATAGTAAGAGTTCAATGAAGTAAAAATGATTTATTGAATTAATAAATTGTGAAAAAATTGATTCTAAAAAAATACACATCAACCACTAACTAACATGTTACCATATAATAAACGATATTATTGTCCACATCAACATAATTAACATTGTTAATACAATATCAGCACCCACCTAAAAGTGTAGAGACCCAAAGTGTAGAAGAAAAAAATTATAGGGACTTAGAATATTAAAAATAAAGTGTAAAGATTATTAACAAATCTCGTGTAAAGTGTAAAAATTGAAAATTATATTTTTTAATAAAAAAATTATAGACCCACCAAGAGGCATGGGATCAACTTAATAAAAACAGAGCCACACCTCTTCCTGTGGGTAAATGATACTAGTTGTGAGATATTATTAAGGACAACCATCCATCTCCACTTGAAACTTTTATGCTTAAAATTTTTGGGGGATATCCTCTTGCAGTTGAGTTTTGGACTTTTCTTATTGGTCTTCAAAAAACCTTGGGATGGTGATCTTAGGAAGGTGAGTTTGAAAAGTAATTCATTAGAGGCTTTGAATCCGGTCAAAGATCGAAATAATGATATTTATGCAAATTGGGAGTTGATCAAAAAGTGCTGGAATTTACTTAGTCAAGATTGGACTATTGATATTGGCTACATCTGCAGATAAGAAAATATGGAAGCTAACCAACTAGCAAAACGTGCTTTTGCAATGCCACTGAGTCTTCACTTTTTGTCCTTGGAGGGCAGGGCTTCTGCTCATTCATTTCTTGTAATGTGGGCTAGCAGTTTTGTTTAACCCGGAAAAAAGAATGATGATTTTATTTATTTATATGTTGTGGTATTTTTATTTTATATTACCAAGCTTTTATACCTTTTTTAAATATTTTATCATGTAAATTAAACAGGCAGTTAAAATTATTTTTAAAAAATCGTTAAGCACAGTTTTTTTCACCTTTTAATTAATGGATTACGTATCGCTGAGGAAAAGCATTACAGCTTAATTGTCTGAAAATTATGTTTGCTTAAAGTTACGTTCTTCCCCAGTATTTATCAACCAGGACTTTTAGTCACTCGTTTGCAGTGGGAATTGGACTTGGATATAACAAGGTTCTAGTTCCACAACGTGCTTATCTTCACAAAGTCGGCCAATAAGTCAAATCTCTTTTTGCTTTATTTCCAGTTCGGCGCTTCCATTCCATGCAGGCGTCATGGAACAAACGTAGAGAATTGGTTTTCATTCTCTTGCTAATCCTTCCTCCCATTCTGCTGCTTATTTATATTTATCCTCGGCTCTTAATTCTACGGTTGAGATTTATTGTATCATAGAAATATTATTATACTATTAGATAATACATTTGTTAATAAAAGTAATATTAAGTAATACTACTTCGTTTCTAGTTGTAAAAAAAACTATCATTTTGTACTTGTTTTTTTATAAACAAAATCACATATTTCAATGAATATTTATTACATATTTTTTAAATTTTGCCTCATAATTTACATTAACAAAAAATATTTAATGCATATTTATGTTGATTAATATAGGGCATTTTAGTCTAATTTTTTTATTTTTAAATGTAATTATTATAGTTAACTAATTTTTTTTAAATTGTGTGGTACAATTTCTTTTTCTTATATATAAAAATGGAGAGAGTACATCATAAATTTGACAGCTTATATTTATTAAGTTATTTATTATTTAATTTGATAATGATTTTATAATACAATAAATTTCAACCAATGAAATTGAGATCCAAAAGTGGAGAAGTTGGGAGGACGGTTTGGTGCCCATTTGGATACGTCTTTAATCAATTTTATTCTCAAAAAAATTGATTATTTGGTTTATTAGCCAAATACCTGAAAAAGCAAAAAATTGATTTCAACCCTTAAAATTAAATTTTTTTTAAAAGCTAATATTTTGAGCTTTTCCAGAAACGCTGATAAAAAAGTACTGGAAAAATTACATAAAAAGGTCTAAAAAAATTATAAAAAAGCACAAAATTTTATAAAAAAAAATCAAACTCCCTTCTCTTCTCTTTTTTTTTTCTTAGTAAAATTCAAATTTTAAATCTTTAAAAAAGTTGCTAACATATATTAAGTTAAAATCAATTTTAAAAAAACAATATCCAAATAAATTACGTTATAACATAATCAATTATGATTAAAATCTACCACTTAATTAATTATTTTCATAATCTATTATACCCAACTGAAATCCAAACGGACCCTTGATAGGAGGAGGCAAGCTTTGACTATTTTCATTTTTCATCTCCCGCCAATGGATCTGGCATCAGTATTATGTTGGGTCCAAAATGAAAGAAGGAAAAAGGATAATAAAATTTTATTAAAATATATAAATAATAATCAGATTTTTTAAAATATTATAATTTTTCTATGATTTTTATGTATCTTTCTAACACTATTAATTTTGAATTAAATGACTAAATTTCCCTCTATTTAAAATAAAAAAATAATAGATTTACATTGAGAAATTATGATTTCTTGTTCAATTATTACGATTCATAGAATAAAGTTGTGATTATTTAAATAAAAATTATGATAGGTTATTTTTAGAATTTGGACTTTAGTGGTAAAGGAAATTTTATGTGGACAGTTGTAATTTTTTATTTAATTCTTAAGATTTATATGATAAAATTTATTATTGCTTAATTAAAAGTTATGATTGATTATTTTCAGAACTTAAATTTCAATAATAAAAAAAATTTCAAGTGAGAAGCTGTAATTTCTTGTTCAATTTATATGATTTATATAATTAAAGTTATTATTACGACTAGTTATTTTCAAATCTTGATTAATCATAAAAGAAATTTTGCATAAAAAGTTATAATTTCTTATTTAATTTTTATGATTTATAGAGCAAAAGTTGTAACTGCTTAAATAAAAGTTGTGATTAAAAAAAGAACTCAAACTTGCTATTTTTATTTTAAATAGAAACAATTTAATTATTTAACTTAAAATCATTAATATTAAAAAGGTACATAGAGATTTTAAAAAAATTATAATATTTTAAGAGATTTAATTATTATTTATATATTTTGTGAGATTTTATTATTATTTTTTCACGAAAGAATGCAAATAAAAGCGGGACTAAAATTAATTTCAACATATTTTTATAAAGAAAGATAAACATATTTACAAAAGGCATCTTCGCAGCACGGGCACGGGTTGCGTAAGTCAACCCCTTAATTATCTTTAATTTTCTATAAAATTTGCCTCTTCGGCATACCACATGGCCGTTTCGAGTTGTTTCCTCGCAAGCACAAGGAGTGAAAAAGGGAGGGGGGGAGAGAGAACGGGCTTATTTATACACTAGCTTACGGAAAATTTACATGCTCTTAGCGTATAATAAATCAACTTTGCCAATCAGTTATTATTAGTGAACTTATGGAATTATATTTGACACCTAATACTTTCGTATGAAATTAGGAAAGAAGATTGTTTTTGTCATGATTAAAATTACTCTATAAGAAAAGCTACGAACTAGTATAGTAATATTCAAGTCATCTACATGTTTAATTTCACGCGCTCATGGTTGGCGCAGCTTGAAGCCACACCCACTCGTCTCAAATTGATTTCCATTTGAGGAGGCCACAGCAGACTTAGCTTTTCAATCTATTTAATAACACCATGATATTTAATCCTTTTTTAATTAATTAGCTTTTCCTCGTTACAAGGTCATGATCGTCATGAAAGTTTTGGGTATTCTGACCGCATTTTTCTGGTTTACTTTAACCGGGAAGATCCGACAAAACAAGTGAAAATTAAAAATCAAAGGTTGCTGTTGGTGATGGTACAAACAGGTGTAGTTTGTCCGAAGCGATGTCGCGGCATTATGAGGATTGAGGAGCCTGTGAAATTCACAGAAATGATTGGTCCGGTCCAGATGCTTTAACCCTTGCTTTCGGCGGAGCTGCATCATGCAGGATGCAAAAAGTGGAGTCCCAAGTCAACGCTTTTTGTCTCTTCATATGACAGGTCGTTTGCCAAATACCAACGACAGCCAAATTGTCCGAGCGTGCAGGATTCTACATCCTCGCCTTCCCTGATGCGTATTTTGATTAAACCTAACAAAATATTTTTGAAGAAGACTGATTCCCATCAATGTCAACTACCGTTTTGTTCAAAGCTGTATGTTAATTTTCTGACTTGAAAACCTTATCAGTTAGAATTAAATTACTTTGTTCCATACCACAGCGTGGCTGCGCTGTGCACATGGGCCGTCTTACGTGTAAACCAAGCTCAAGGACGACAACACTCGTGAGCTCACAACCCTTGTCCTGTTTTTTTCTAACTGCATCCTGCAGTTTCTGCTCCTTTTACTTTTGTTGTTGTATCTCCATTGTTTTTTCCACTTCTATCAACTTCTTTACCCTAAACGAAGCAGCTGCACATCATCTAAGAAAATATTTTCACCCAGAAAGCATCGCCTATATGTAGAGTTTAAGAAGCTTAATTATCCGTATCTTATAGTACTGTCGATGCTATATTATATATATTGCATGTTGATCTCACCACATTATTATATTGTATTTTTATTGGGTTCCTCCTCCACATGCCCCATCCTGTTCGTGCGGCATGAAATATTGTGAGACCTTGAACCTCTAAATGATTACCGATGGATTAACTTGTTTCTTTTGCATGTGAAGCTGCCGATTCCACAAGCATATACCAGCTCATCTTCTCCATCACGACCGATAACCCCATCATTGCAACGAACCCCGATTTTGGATGGATTTTCGCCCTCTAACTGCTTCTGGAACACGATAGTGCTATTTCTGGTTTGCTTCTGGCCCTACTCGATTTCTTCTTGCAAACCCCAATTCGTTGCTTGTGCGGGACATTGCCGGCTGTCTCTGGATCTTGATCTAGCTTCCAAGTTTTGAAATCCACAAGTAAGTGTTACATTTTTTTCCCCCCTCTATGATAATACCAAGGATGGATTGTGCTTGTTTAATTGATACTGATAAGCTACCAACCAAATTGAAGAGCAGAATTTAGTTTCAAAGTTTCTGTGAGCTAACAGAGAGGGTGAGTAGAAAATTGAGTTGGTAAATTTGGAATTCAACCATGAGCTGTTTCATTTTGACCCGCAATTTCAAAGATAAACTTTACTGTCATTAAATTACTCTAACAAATCCCACCCAGTTGTCTCTTGGTTCAGCTTTGGATAGATATTAATACCATTGTTTAATCCTCCAATCCTCTGTTTTCTCTTCAGTTTAGTCACAAGAAGATGCGACCAGGATCTTGCGGAGAGTCGTTCGTGCAAGTTCCTTGAACAACGATCTCATCGTCTTCAGTGAAGCGAGAAAATGGGCAAGAAAACGAGCCTCTTGATAACTTTGTCAGCAGCCTTCATCACTGGGGCAATTTTCGTGAGTGTTGGTGCTGAGCCAGTGGAAGATAAAAAAGCGTTGCTTGATTTTTATCGCAATATCGGTCACTCTCATCCTCTCAACTGGGATGAGAATTCTTCTGCATGCAAAAGCTGGAGAGGAGTGTTCTGCAACAGTAAACAATCCAGAGTCGTAGCCCTCCATTTACCAGGAGCTGGGTTGAGCGGTCCATTCCCATCTAATACTCTTGGTCGTCTTTCAGAACTACATACTTTGAGTCTTAGATCCAATAGAATAACGGGTCCTTTTCCTTCTGATTTCTCTGAGCTTAAAAATTTGAGTTATGTTTATCTCCAATTCAACAAGTTTTCCGGTCCACTGCCATCGGATTTTTCAGGTTGGAATAATCTTATTGTTATCAATCTATGCAATAATTCTTTTACTGGAAGCATCCCTTCGTCCATTTCAAAATTGACTCATCTCACATATTTAGTCCTAGCAAACAACTCGCTTTCAGGGGAAATTCCTGACCTCGATATCCCTAGCCTAAAAGAGCTAAATTTAGCCAACAACCACCTTAGTGGGGTTGTGCCTAAATCCCTTGAGAGATTTCCAGGTTCAGCTTTTGCTGGTAACGACAATCTTACAACAGAAAATGCAATTCCTCCGGCAATGCCACTTCAGCCGCCAAATGCTCCTCCGAGAATGAAAACCAAACTAAGTGAACCTGCATTATTGGCTATAATCATTGGTGGCTGTGTGCTATTATTTCTGGTGATTGCAGCTTTCTTGCTTATCCGCAGCTATCAGAAAGGAGATGAAGATTTGCCACCAGTGAAGTCAAAGAAAAAGGAAGAGTCTCTGAAAAAAGAAGCATCTGAAACTGAAAGTCAGGACAAGAACAAGATTGTGTTCTTTGAGGGTCGCAATCTTGCCTTTGACCTGGAAGACCTGTTGAGATCATCTGCCGAGGTACTAGGAAAAGGAACTTTCGGGACCACATACAAGGCTGCTCTAGATGATGTAACCACGGTGGTGGTGAAGAGATTGAAGGAAGTTGTGGTCGGAAAACGTGAGTTTGAACAGCAGATGGAGGTGGTGGGGAGGATTAGGCACGATAATGTGGTTCCATTAAGGGCATACTATTATTCCAAGGAAGAGAAACTTATGGTGTATGATCACTTCGAACAGGGTAGCGTTTCTGCAATGTTACATGGTACGTTAAGCCTTTTCTTCTATCATCTTGTTTGCACTAGAAAACCTTATTTGCTAACGGTAATAATGCAATGCTCACGCATCCCCGTCATGCAGGTAGGAAAGGGGAAGGCAGGGCTTCTTTAGACTGGGATAGCCGGCTGAGAATTGCGATCGGTGCAGCAAGAGGGATGGCTCATATCCACACACAACATGGAGGGAAACTAGTACATGGGAACCTAAAAGCCTCAAACGTCTTCTTAAACTCGCAAGGATATGGTTGTGTATCTGATGCAGGCTTGGCGACATTAACAAGTTCAATGGCCTTACCAGCACAGAGAACCGGAGGGTACCGTGCACCGGAAGTAACAGACATGAGAAAAGCGAGCCATGCGGCTGACATATACAGTTTTGGGGTGCTGGTGCTTGAGCTTCTGACCGGGAAATCACCCATACATGCCACAGGGAGTGAGGAGGCGGTGCACCTGGTTAGGTGGGTGAATTCAGTGGTGAGGGAGGAGTGGACGGCGGAGGTGTTTGACGTTGAGTTACTGAGATATTCGAATATTGAGGAAGAAATGGTAGATATGTTGCAGATAGGGATGGCATGCGCGGTGAGGGTGCCAGAACGGAGACCAAAAGTGCAACATGTTGTGAGGATGTTGGAGGAAGTTCGTAAAGTGAATACCGGGACCCAATCATCCACGGAAGCTTCCACACCGACCCCACAAGCAATTATTGACGTACCTTCTTCTTCCTCTGTTCGGCAATAAGATTCTTTCGTCTTTAGTCAATTGCTGTTCAGATGTATGCAAGTTTAATTTCATCTGCGAAGGGAAAAAAATTGTTGATTGTTGTCCACTCTCTCAATGGATGCGTGTTCAGCAGCCAAATCTAGCTGGAATCATTGTCAAGGAGGTCAGTTGACGTACTCCAGCAAAATGAAAGATTATTCTTCTACTTTCCTGGTCTCTCGGCCATTACAAATAGCTTGTCATTTTTTAAGAACAGTCCACTGAGTGATCCTACTTCTTGGGATGCCAGTTCTTGAGAATATTATGGTCGTTGTTCTCAAGTCGCTTGGTCAATGAAATTTGAAACCATTTAAGAACATGAGAAGCTTGCTGCTCAAACTAATCAAGTTACCAACTTTAGTGGGAATACGGGCCTAGCCCTTCGGATTGGCTTGTTCAAGCCCGTTTAACAAGAGGGCTGAACTTGTAATTAAAACTCTTGAAATGTAATTTGAGTTGAAATGTGTTGAGGGCCAATCTATTTAAGGCCACGTAACTTTTTTTTTATTCAAATAATTAACTTTTGATAGGCTCTTGGACTTAAAAAAAAAATTTAAGCATAATCTATCTGTACATATTAGCCCATATCTACAGGAAAAAAAATATTTAAAAAATAACAACTAATCTTAAATCTTCTAACTTAACTCTCCAGACTACATTCCACTAATTCTACCCCTCTGTAATTTATCTCTTATTTATGTGAGTTGTGCTCGTCTTTCATCATTCCCCTTTATTGATAAAATCTCCCAAATTCCAACAATGCTCCATTGTCCGTGATTGAACTTCATCGTGCTCCTTCGTCTATGACAATGCTTTGCCAAACTCAAAGATTCAAATGACATCATCTCTCAAGTCATCCTCTTACTCGAATAGAACTGTAGTTTGATTTGTTTTTCCTTATTCTTAGTTTTGCTCTCAGTCAACCTTGTGCCTATGATTTATTTTGTTTGGTCATTCTGATAGTATCATTTTGTTTGCGTTTATGGTTTATTCAGTTGTTTTATTTCAATTGCTACCATTTCATTTATTGATATGGTTGTACTCTTAATTTATATACTAGAATGAAATTTTTGAGTTATGAAATAAAATGAAATATTACTATTTAATTTGATAAAAAAATTTAATAAAAAAATAAAAATAAGTAATAGGATTTGAAGCCCGTAAGCCTGAACCTGCTATCTCAAAGGTTGGGCCCCGCAATTTAATATCTCAAAAGAAAAATAGGCTTTTTAAGCCTGATCTTTTTAAACCCAAGCCTACCAAAGGCCAACTTTTTAGAATCAGGTTGGCCCGTTTTTCCAGTTATGTGGCAACCATTTGGTCCTTTCAACCAGAAGAAAATAACAAGAATAATAGCCCCCGTCTACTAATCTACAGTTTCTTTTAAGCTCAATCCGCTCGCACACTGGATTCGCAAACTGGCAATTCGCACCTCGGAACTTGGATCGAGTTGTTATTCTCAAGCGGTATGAGTATTAGTGGAGAGAGAACAGATTAACAATTTCCATTTCATGAGTTAACAATAAATTACAATAGAATTGAGTATTTAAAGTCGAAAAGTACCTGCTGAGCAAGCTAGATGGCGATGAAGATAACAACATTAAAAAAGGTGTGGCTGGATATAATATAATAAAAACTACAAGGGTTCCATGGGCCATTTCATTCATCCAGAGAAATCCGCCAATCTGGTTTCGAGTAAAAATTTTACATCACGTATATATATTTCTTTCATTTTGAAATATGAGGTATCAGAATTACAGGCATAATTCAGACATTCAAAAGAGAAGCCAAACTATCCCAGTGAGAACCTTGGTCACACAATCACCCCAGAATCATTAGCTGTACGTATCTCCTAACTCAGCCATCACACAAAGGGCACTGCAACTCACTTCCTCAAAATTCTTGTTTTCACCCCCCCTATATTAGCAAAGCAAAAATAAGAGAAGCTTCGCAAAATGGAGGCAGAAATTACGCTACATTAAGCAAAATAAGAATGGGTAGGGTGGTGGCAACATACCTTCAACTTCCTCAAACTGTATTTCCTTGACAATGTCAGAGGCAGCATTATACTCAAACCTACAAAGAAATAGCAAAATATCCTTTATTGACGATTGATTACCATTTGCAAGTCAATGGATGTGTAAGTATGTAGATCATTTGATTGTATAATCTGGACGACAAGGAGTCAAATTTTGCCCAATAATCTAAATATTTTCAGGTTAAAATTGCCCCAGGGCTCAACTTAAATATATAATGAAGAATAGATCACTGGAGCAAGAATGAAACATTAATGAAGGATAGATTGGAATTCAAGAACATACAGCACAGAGCAATAGGCATAAATTTCATTTACCTATTGGAGAAAACCACATCAAGTTGATAATCAGATGCACTCTTAGTAGCTTCGACTAACACAGTGACAATTTCAGTTTTTCTAGTACTGGCCATGAATAGATCATACTCTGTTGGAATTATTACTGCAAAAAAGTTATCACTTAGTTCGCTCAGACACATTCTCTCAACAGCTGCAAGGGCTATCCTCCTTTTAAGGGCACCAGTATCCGGGTCAACAATATAAATGGCGAAATCAGTAATTAAGAGGATACGTTTTTTCATTTTCCCCAAGCCAGTGAACTTCAAAACTTTATCTGCAAACAGAACTTGCTTGTCCCCTGGAGGAAAATGAACGGAGATTAGAATTTCATAACTCGGTAGGCTGTACACCACATCTTACCCTCTCCCACCCCACTCCCTCCACTGCATTTCTCAAAAAATGCAAACATGATGCAAGGCTTTCCAAACTGCTCTCTATTCATCTTGCACAATTGCGTCTCTTTTTTTCCAAAAAAAAAAAAAAATCCCTGAATTTCTATATTCACTTATTTTTATATCACATAATTCTTTTTCATTTTTTTACTCCGTGGAGATCCCACCTTCCTGCAGATATCATACAATAAGCTTGGTTAAATTCAAACGGTTAAGCTTCGATATTCTGGTATACCGTTGACAAACTTCTCATTAAAGAAAAAGAAAACTCCAGAATTGAGCACTGAACCATTGAATGCACTAGTCAGAACTGTCAGGAGTTGAAGAACTACGTCACCTAAAACATATTTGGCTCTCTAGAGACCGAAGACCTATGTTTCTTTCATACATAATATGGTAAATCTACAAAAAAGGGTAAGAAAAAATCAATCTTCCTCTCCTTTTCTCATCAGTGATCACAGTAGGATGGCATTATTCAGCACCATGAATGACTCCTGAGCTTTACTTGCAGAAATGTAACATTAACAAACGCATTATCTAAGATCAATCCAAACTATCATTTAGTATGTCCTTTAGGCAAACACTTAAATTATAACTACGTGCTTAGATCACAGAAGAATCAATCCACTAACTGGTAACAAATGTTAATTGGCACTAGTTGCCCGTGTCCTTATCATTGAACAAGTCAATTGTCTCATTAAACGATCAAATTTCCCAGTTAACATGCCAGATACCCAAAGGCTAGTTTCGAAAACACCGAATCCAGCAATCCGCAACCATCAAAAGAGTTCTACACAGCCGTACTACCAGTGGATAACAAGATATTTGCGTTTAAGGACTAACCTTGTTTCTGCAAAATTTTCATCAAAGAAGGTTGTGAAGGGACATCGATGTAGTCCCCTTTAAAATCTCTGTGAAGAGACGCCTTTCTCCGGACCTTGATGCCCATGAATGGCTCTTGATCTTCGGAAACACTGCCGTTGGAAAAACTCAAGCGCAAATTTTCCTCTTGTTCGATTTCGTTATCGTATCGCCCTCGAGAGGAGTCGTCATCCTCGACACCACCGTCTTTGGAAGGATCGGATCTGGAATCTTGAATCTGGACCCGTCTCTCCGTCCTGAACCGTTCCATCTAGAGTTGAAGCTTTGGAGCGGTGATGGGACTCGGAGACGGAGGGAAGCGGTGCAGCCTGCGAATGCTGTGCTGGTTGTGGTTGATGCCTTTGGGAGTTGTGGGGAGTTGCGTGCGGTGTGACATGGTCATGGTGGGACCACGTGCTCCTGAGCCTCGTAACCATCTGGTTCCAGCTGGCTTATACGTCAGCTAGCTGCACTTTGTGAGCCAGCAGTGTCCAGCTCCGGCCAGGCGATTGTTTACTGATTAGTGATCATCACGACGTTGATCGGCAAACACTTTCAATTACGAGAAACAGAGTAATTCAGCGCTCATCTATAGATAAGTCCTAGAAGCTGTGTCTCCCGGTCCGGATTTAATTTTTATGGTGCATATTTACAATTTTTTAATTAGTGTTTTTCAAATAAAAAAATATTTTTTAAAAGATTAACGATTAAAAGATTATCTTTATTTTAAAATTTTATATTTATTAAAATAATTTCCTTTAAGAAAATAAAAGTAAAAAATTGTAAATCTAACTTATTCAAATTTCTGACCAAAAAAAAAACTTATTCAAATTAAATCTAAGCAATCCAGACACGATAAGTTCTCAACAATCATCATAAACTGGTTGCCTTATCTCTGTCATTAATGGCAATTTGAGTTGCTGATTGTCTTTATATTAGTATATGTGTTTATATAAAATATTGAAATTTAAATATCTATATTCTATATAATAAAAAATTTGCAAATCGTCCAAATGTAAAAAAATATTTTTAAATAATAGATAAACTAGCTTAAATTTTAGGTCTAATACTATTATAAATCATGATTCATATCTTATACGAATTATTTCTTTAATTTTTAAAAACAATAGCATTCGATCCCGCTATTAAAAGTCAATTTTGATCATTAATTGATCATAAAATAATAAAAAATAATCTTAAAAATTATAAAAGAAAATCAAAAATTATAATAAATGATTCAAAAATTATAAATAAAGAAAACAAAATTATAAAATTATATTATCATGAAACATTGAAACTTGAGCGTGTGAAATCTATTTCACAGAGAAATTATACTTTTAGAACAGATTTATTTACTAATGCCAATATAACTTTTTTTTTTTAATAATGGTGCACGGATTTTATGAAGTAAGTACATCTACATATATAGTTCCACTCCTTCTTCTGAGATTTTTAACGATGAAAACCAATTTGAATGATTTTGACTAGTTAAACAAGAGAAAAATAATCAACTGGACCGAATTAAATGGACAAATTATTCTAGGCGGATGTTTAGTCTGGCTTTTAGAAGCTTTAAACCAGTGTTTTAACTCCAAAAAGTTAGTTGAAGAGTCAAAGCAGCTATCGTGATTTGTGATGTTTTCGGATATAACGTTATCACCTATTATCAGAATTAAAAATGAAACTAAAAATCAAAGATAAGGAGATAAAAGAAAATTACATCAACATTTTTTTTGTAAATATAAGAAATAAGTTTCGCCAAAACAAAAAAATATACTCCATCAAAATTAAAATACAAAACATTGATAATTATATTATGATTTTAAAAATATTAATTAAAACTTTAATTTCTTAAAATAATTTATATTTTTTTAATTTTATCTTCATTAAATAACCTATATGTGCTTTAATAATGATAATTAAATTTTTAATACATAATTTTTTCAAAAAATAATAAATAAAATAGGAGTATAATTAAAAAATAATTATAAAATCCACTCAATATCTTATATTTTAAATTTAAATTCAAAACAAGATTTTTAGAAGATTATATTATTCTTTGGAGGGAGTACTCAAAATAATGAATAAACCTCCCTTAACTAAATACTACATATACAAGCTCAACCATTTATTTAAAGGATAAAGATTCAATTTTGCCCTTATATTTATTTTTTAGGAGCGCTGGGTACTCTATATTCTTAAGTAAAATAAGTTTATCTCTAAATTATCTTTTCAAGAAACAAAAAATCTCATCCATTAATGAACCATTAATTATGCCGTTATATGCTAACGTGGCATGTCTGTGGAGCCTAAACATAATGACAAGTTAGACTCTAACCATATATTTTAGTGTTAATTTATTTCTAAACTTTTTTTTCTACGAACGTTAAACACTCTAAAGTTTTTTTTAAGAGTATTAAATACTTTAAAAGTCTTATTAAAATAAAATTTAATAAATGTTGTGAAAATATCAAATATTTCATATTTAATAATTTAAATATTATTATTTATAAATATTCATTTAGAATTTATAAATTACTTTTTAAATATTAACAACTTAAATTAGTATTTTGTAAATTTATAAATAATTTTTTATTTTTATATATCAACATTGAATCTTTTCTTCAAAATAATGCCTAATTTATTATGATTTTTGTACATGTCGAACTTACTTATGTTTTTAATATTGATTAAGTTCCTTAATTTTTTAGTCAACTAATAATCTTTTTTTAAAAAATTATACTACCCAAATTTAATACTCTCTCTATGTTGCAGTATCAGAAGTAAAATAAAAAATGTGACAATTAAGACTAACAATATGACAAAAAATATTTATTTAAAAAATATCACTTATGTCATTATTGTACTACTAAAAAAGTTATTTAACAAGAAAAAATAAAGAGATGAGAAGAAAAAAAATCTCTTCGTTAATTTAGAGGTTTATTCTCTTCATTTTTAATATAAAATTATAAAATATTAAATTGAGTGGTGTAATATTTTAAATAATAATATTTAAATTATTAAATATTAAAATATCTAATATTTTAATAATATTTATTAAATTTTATTTTAACAAGATTTTAAGGTGACCAGCACTTCTAGAAAAAATTTTAAGGTACTCAGCGATGTTGAAAAAAGAGTTTGGAAACACATTAGTATCAAATGATAATGGAAAAGTTAATATTCATTAACAAAAGAATTTTTTACTTCTCAAAAAAATAATATATGAATAAAATTATTTTATTTAAGAGTATAGACTACCTGATATTATTAAAAAAATAAATACAAAAATAAAGTTAAACATTAATACTTTATTTAAATGATAAGGATTACACCAATATTTTGCATGAGAGCCGAGGAAAACAAAATTCACACGCAACGCCAGAAAGACAGCAATCGAACGCGCGAAATCAAGATGCGGAACGACGCCGTTGAGGAGGGATGAGCCTAAGGAGTAAGGAGCGCGGACCTCCTTTCCTTTTCGGCGGCCACCTTTGGCACGAGAGAGAAAAAGGAAAGGGGTTTCGTACAGAAAACGCCAAGTTGGGACCCACTCTTTCAAAGAGGAAATAAATTATAAAAAATAATCGAATAGTATAATGACATTAATAATTAATCAGAGAAGCAACAATGCTAATCAACCGAAGAAATAAGATCGGGGATCGATTCTGAAGCCGCCCCAGTCATTTACAAAAGTCATCTTCGCCTTCCACTTATTTTTTTCTCTTTGTTTCTCTCCTCCTCCTCCTCCTCCTCCTTTGCAAATCCGTTCCCAAATCTAAAGGCTAGAGGAGGATCTGTCGGTTTTCTCTTCGGTATGATGGCATCCCCCTCCCCTCCCCCCTAAAAAAGAAATATATTCTCTCGGTTCCTGGTGCTCCGTGCCTACATGTGCATGTGCATGTGTAAGCGTAGGCTTTGATCTGAATCGGTTTTAAATTTTTGCTTAGGTTTCGTGATGGCCTCCAAGCGGATCTTGAAGGAACTCAAGGATTTGCAGAAGGATCCTCCCACATCCTGCAGCGCCGGTATTGCATTTCTTATTGCTTCTGGCCCAGTTTTTTTCGTTTTGATTTTTCGTTCGCGTGCTTGTCTTCGCTCATGCTTCGACTTCGCAATTTTCTTAGGGGAAAAAATCGTTCTAGTTATATTCGGTGGCTGTAATTTAAATTTTGTTATGATATGTGTACATCTTCTGACTTCTTGAGGAACTTACGATCCTGAGTTTCTTGCATTCTCTTTCGTCGATTGAGTCCTTTCCGCCTGACATTTCTGATTGCAACTGATTTCTATTGATTCTGCCGACATCGAAATGTTACGTTCAGAATATTTTGGGACTCGCCGCCGATTGTGGAGCCTTCTTGCATTGAGGGCAATCTTTGTATCTGGGGGTTCTGGGTTCATGGGGCAAAAATGGTGAAACCAAAGCGGCGTAAATGGCATTGAAGTCGAATGAGTCGTATGCTTTTCTTAAACTGGAGATTGTAGGTTAGGAAGATTACTTGGTCTTATGACCGGGGTTATACATCGCTTGCTAAATAATTAAGCTTGTGAACAACGCACTTTTTGGGAATGTAAAATGAATATTTGGTTTTATTTGTTTCTTAATAGGTAGGCTGTGTCTTTGATTTAAAATCTCGTCTTCCTTTTTTAGCAGACGGTGGCATGACTCTCAACTATTGCCCTGGCTAATATGCATTTTATTTTGTACTAGATTCTGCAATTATGAATTTGGACTTTGTACTTGTAGCTGAGTGATGTTTCAATTTTACATATCGCCTGCACAGCCATTATTATGATCAAATCAGTCAGCAATATATGTGATATTGGTGTTTTTGCGCTATTCTTTCTTTTAATACTCTTTTGGGATATCCGTGCACTTCGGTTATGGCATGAGGGCGGGGATGAGAATCAAACTAAAATCTCTTTTGTAATTGGATTCTCCTTTTGGTCTTTGGGATTTTAGTGATATAAAGGGTTTTGAAATTTCAGTGAAATTATTTGAATAGGGAAAAAGATTGATTCAGACGCGTTAGAAGGCACATAATTTTTTCGACAATGCTGTGGAAAGTTGTTACTTGTTGCTATGACTTAAACCTAGGACAGTCGCAATGTGCACTGGCTATCCAAGCTAAGGAGGGTGGCAAAGATTATGCATGCTTAGATATTCTCCGCAGTCAACTAAAATTACTGGAATTTTGGCTTTCTAACTTGCTAACAGTCTGCTGACTAACTGCATGAGATGTACATTGTATTGTTTGATGTAAGCAATATGTAACTTATATTTGCATTGGCCGTTGTTTTCACGTTTGCTTATATTGTGCACTATTTATTTCTAAACATTGAAGGTCCAGTTGCTGAAGACATGTTTCATTGGCAAGCAACAATTATGGGCCCTCCAGACAGTCCTTATGCTGGAGGTGTTTTCCTAGTTACCATTCATTTTCCTCCAGATTATCCCTTCAAGCCACCAAAGGTCTGTAATTCATTCACTTGTCTATTTATTTTTGTATTGCTTTTCTTGTTTCCTTCTTCACTGTCTTTACATGTTCGCTAGTTCAGTTTTATTTAGTGATTTCATTCTTCTTCTCACATATAGTTTGTATTTTGCTTCTAGAGGCAGGTATATGAATTTTAAATCCAACTTTTTTTGTTATTAGAATGCTAACTCGCCAACAAATTAGAATTTTATGCTTGGTGTCAAGTTTAAATTAAAAAACATGGCATTTGTGATTCAATCTAAACTTTAAGAAAAATGTTGACTTTTGGAATCTAGCTGCATGCTTTCTTTTAGCTGAAAAAATTGAGAGGGAGCATGCCTGTTCCTTCAGTGTATATGTAAAAATGCTTGTGGATTGTTCTCCTGGTACTTTTTAAATTGATCTCTCATTTCCATCTTGCAGGTTGCATTTAGGACGAAGGTATTCCACCCGAATATCAATAGCAATGGAAGCATTTGCCTTGACATACTAAAGGAGCAGTGGAGCCCTGCTCTGACCATTTCGAAGGTTTGTTTCTTTTCAGTTTCGGATAATTAGGAAAATCTTCATTCCATGAAGCACATTTTTAAGTTCCCAAATCAGCACAGATACGGCAATTATTTAGTTGGTACTTCCCGGTAAGGTGAATCCACTTGATTTTCCTTATGGTTCTGATATAGGCCAAGTCCATTTCATACAGAGCGGGTTTCATCGCACTGTACTGGTCATTGAAACATGCTTTTATTTTATGTTGTAGTCGGGGTTCTATGCATCATCAGTATAAAACCCGTTGTTTCGTTTACGTGTTGGGATTGCAATAATCACTGCTAGCTTTCTCCAGGTGTTGCTCTCAATCTGTTCCCTTTTGACGGACCCAAATCCTGATGATCCTTTGGTCCCTGAAATCGCCCACATGTACAAGACAGACCGGAACAAGTATGAGACAACTGCAAGAAGCTGGACTCAGAAATACGCCATGGGCTAAGACACCCGTGAGATGATGTGTGAGGGAGATGCCCTTTATTTTTCAGTGTTTAGGCCTAGCAGCCGGGTGTAACGTGTAATGAAAACTTCATGTCTTCAATCTTGAATTGATTATGGCGCCTCCAGTTAAAGATGTGGATGGGGCATAACATTTTTTTTCTACTGGTGTATTGCAATTTACAAACCTTGCTTTCTATGACACTCATGTGGGGCCTAATGAAAGCGTATGACTAAATTCCTAACCCTGCTTTGATATCATCAAATATCCATGGAGTCTTGATGGTTGGAAATCGACTGAACTCGAAGCATTTCTATAATTATTGGAGAACTCTAAAATAAAAATTAGTATCATCGTATCTTTTTCGATGGAGGTAGTGAGTGGTCTTTTTTATTTTTTTGGGGTGGTGTTAAACCATTCCACATTCGAAGTGAGTTCGAGCCGGCTTGGGTCCCAAACATGGGATAATTCTTTCAAGCTTATTTTTTTCATTCCCATGATTGGAATTGAACCTGAGTTTATGGTTCAGGGACTTAGACCCCTTTCTCAGTGTATTAAATTTCACATTTCATCTCCTTTTTAAGATCGAAAATATTATTGAAGGTTGAGTGGAAATCATATTCGTTGGGTAACTTACCTTCTTCGGGAGTGATGTGTAAAAAAAAAAAAAAATGTCTCAACTCTTGGGTAGCTCTGAGGTAAAGGAAGGGGATTGGGAACTATTTCTCACATTTTGTGCCAAATTATGCGTCGTATTAATAGAATGCAAATGAAAAGGCACACTAAGACACGCAAATTTGTGTATATATGTATCTAATATATACATTTCATTTGAACAACACACTAATTTTTTATAATAAAGCTGAATAAGTCATTTCTTTTTCTCCTATCATGAGAAAAGCAGTTTATTAACAATCTTATCATCTCATGTTCCCTTTAGCCTTGCAAGATTCGACTAGCATTTTTTTTTGTCAAGAAATAAATCTTAGATGTTAATTCAATCAATGATATGATTTTTAAGGCCAAAAAAAAACCTAGATTACTTGAATTAAGAAGCATAACGAACAAAACTGATATCAGATGAAATCGGCTATCAGAAATCTGGCCACGTCGCCTTATCGTTCTGTCCTCTTCGGTCGTATTGCAATGATTTTCAATTTTCTGGGAAGACGTATCCATTTGGGCCAGCGAAATCAAATAAAAATAACGACACGAAAGAAACAATGGAACAAGCAAGGCGCAGCAGAACTTCTTCCTTGTCTTTCTTTTTTTATGCCAATAACATATAAAGCTGAGTGCATCAAATTAGGAATCTCAGCCCATCCTAAAAAGGACAAACTCAGCCCAACCCCATGTTGCTGGGCATCATGGCCCATTTTCATTTATTAAACAAGAAAGAAGGTTTGGTTCAATGGCAATGCCTAAGCTGGTTGCAGGCGAGGCCAGTACCCAGACACAGGGTGTATGGGAATTCTGTTGGTTAGTTTCAATTTTATACAAGTGAAGCAACTTAAGACGAAAACAAAAGGAACAAGGATAATCCCCCCCTTTAATACAGGATATTTTCCTTTATTTTTTTTTTACTAGGTGGACATTTTCTACTCGTTGGTGTTGGTTCTAAATGCAAAACACTTGCAAAATGTCAATTGCATTAAATTCTTTTTTCACTAATGAACTTAGTAATTGTATTGTAGGGAGACTGTATAAGAAATAAATTAAAAGCAATTAAGATATATTGATTTTTAATTGGAGGATAGTCCTAAAAAGTAGTGACAATTTTTATTATTTTAATTACATAAACTGCTTTTAATTATTATTTTAATTATTGTGAAGTGATTAAAAGTGGCTGTGTACTGCGAGAGAACAATGAATCTGCAGTCCCCAACTGGCAAATTCCTTTGTTTTTGGAAAGTTAATAGAGCAGCAGAAGATAATTGAGGGTGGTTGGATTAAATTAAGGAGGCAAATGAAGGTGGGACAAAGACATTAATTGAGAGACAGGATGGTTGATGCCTGCTGCGCAGTAAATTAATTAGGAAAGGGTAGGAGCCTTAGAAGGCATTCATAGGCAAGTTGTGTTGTGGTCGAAGGGTCAAAGTTATCGGCTGCATTCACTCCATTTTCATATCCCTTCAAACCCTTCAAAAGTGGCATGTTTCTTCCCATTTCCTTTTTTATATTCCTTTTCGATTCAGAGCATCCATCCTCCACATTTTAGTTATTTTCATGTTTCATGAGCTCGTGTCCTTCCCTTCCTATGCTCTATATCTGTTCCAATTATTGTTAGTTGAATGGTGAGTTTTCATTGCACACATATATACTATATTCTCAATTATTTCTATTTTCATGTTTGAACTTTACTACTTGTCTAATACTATTTATACAATAAAAAAATTAATTTTAATTTTATTTATACAGCACTTTACTATTTGTTTATATTTATCTTTACATTTTTATCCTTATAAAATATTATAAAAATTTATTAAAAATAATTTTTTTATCCTTGTTAGAGGATAGAGATAAAAATTTATTAAATTTTAAGAGAAAGTTAACGAGATTTAAATTTTTTTAATTTTAATTAAATATATTAAAAGTGACTTACAAAAAAAATTAAAAAAAGTATATTCCAATTCATAACACACACAGCGCCCCACACATATTTCTTGTTTGTCATAAAAGTGTCCTTTTCTATTATACTATAGTAGCGGATCCCTTTGTGGCTGAATTAAGTAAACAAATGTTTAAAAATGTTTTTTTTTTTGGGTGAAAAATGTTTGATAATGTTTAATGCTTTCAGATTGCAGAGACAAGGACGCCATAGAATCGAACCTTTTAGTTAGAGAGTCACAGTGTAAAAAAAAAAAAGGAAGATGTTTAAATTTAATCAATATCTTTGAATTTTAAAAAACATATAAGGGACTACCGTGAAGCCATTAAAAATTCAGAAAACATTCATTCAACTATTGGCCGCCTAGGATAGATCCGTTGGTGAAGTTAGCACAACGAGGAGAGGAAATAATATTGACCATTTTCCAAATCATTGAGGAAATCTCAGACTTAGGTTTTGATGAACCAAAAAAAGAAAAAGCAAAAGAAAACGGAATAAACTCTAGGATGAAATTGAAACTACAGTGATCGAACAAGAAAAATGAAATGCTTGTTATAGCATTTGAACCATAAACCTATAGTTTTTATAGTTTTGGATTCAGTAATTGTAGGCACTAAATTCTTGCATTATGTGAGCATTGAAATCTATATCAATGATTCAAATGAATTTACTTATTCATTAATATCAAGTAGAATATAAATTTAAAACTGTCAATATAAATTTTAATAGCTTAGATAATATAGACACTCAATACCTGTATTAAATATAATTATTAAATTTAGATCTTAGTTTATATATACGTAAATTCCTTTTTTGCTTCCCACGTTGCATTTGTTTTTTAAGCATGTATATGCAAGCGCAGCATTTTTTAAGCAACTCAATAGATTGTTAACTAAATTCATAAACTGCTGATTTCACAAAACATTGCAGCGGTCATCCAGCACGATCAATTACACACAAAACTGAACAGTGATCGATTCAAATGAGTTATTTTATTTTTGCTAAAATCCGGTGAACATTTTCTTGGTCATACCTTGAGCATTGTAATAACTCGCGGAATTATAATTATAGACTCTAATCATTTGAAAGAAACATATATATACGTCAACGTATTTATGCCTTTTATGTCTCCTTGTTGACCTTGAAAGCTAACAACACCACTTGCCCAGAAAACAAACAAAATATTAACGGACAAAGAAAGCCTAGGAATGCCAATATCTATATTGTATTTATTAATTCAGCCATATACTGAGAAGAAGCCAACCCACAAGCAGACTGCATTACTTAGAGAATTTATTAATAATTAATAATGTATATAACTATCTAAAGGACAGTGTCGTGACCCATGTCCCGTATGCATAATATTATTATTTCTTTTCACGGCTCTGCTGAATATCTCAATAACTTATTTACAATCTTACCTGTCCAGCATGCATACCTATGATATTGTATTTACATAAACAATTAAGTAGGCTGGCTTTTCATTAAAAGAAAAAAGAAACAATAAAAATCTCGCCAATTGGTCGTGCCCACGAGTGGGTTTAAGGGCACAGCCCCTGAAAATCTGGTTTATATTAGGGTGTAAAAACTAAATACCTAATCTCACTTGCAAATGTAGTTCTGGTCTTGTCTTTTCTGAGGACAGAACCACCCAAAAACCGTACCTGAAGAAGAGAGCAAATATTAATTTCTACACTAATGAATCTAAACAGTGGAATTTTAGCAGTTAGTGAGCTGGAGCTATGAATGATTAATGAACATGAAGAGAACAATTACAAGTATGAGCGGGGTGGATACTCATGCCGCGCACTAAGAGCGTTCAATAATGTTACCAAGTTAGGAAGAGGAATCAGAGCTTATTCATGTTCTTGGAGAGACAGAATATAAAGAAAATCAGATGTTTGGCAATAATAACAAGGGAGTTATAAGCTTAGTAGAATACGAATAAAGTTGAGGTCGGTTGGACAGGGATTCTCTGGGCAGATATATAGCTGCAAATTATTATTATTAGTGAGCTATGCTTTTAGAGGACAGATTTTTTGGACTTGAGCTTTTCAATTACCAAATCTCCCTTGTTCTCTGGGTTTTGCCTTCCTTCGTGTCTTTCTTTGCTTCTGGTTCTTCCTGCTTGTTTTCTCACTCTTTTCTTCTTCTTCTTTTTCAAAAAAAAAAAACCGTGAGAGGCTGGTGGCAAACCAGACATTATTCTGTGTCCGTAACCAAACCCATTTTGGCCAGCTTTGTTCTTAAATCAAGGGATTCAAGTTTTGAAGATAATTTTTTAGGCAGGAATATCATTTTGGGTCTTGCATTAAAAAAGTGAAAGTATATATGCAAAAATCCACTTTCTTTCTTCTCCCCCTGCAACTATATGTTCTTTTTACTAGTAATAAAGTTTTATCTAATGAAAAAAAAAAAAAAGCTTTGGAAATCCACACTCCCAGATTATGTATCCTTCCATTCCACCCTCTCATTCAGAGAAAGTTTGGATTCCCAGGAGCTAATCAACGCATCAATAATGTAATTGTATGGTGCAATCAAATAATAATAATAATAATAATAATAATAATGTAATTGTAACGTTGAAAATTAAACTTTAATTAATGAAATGGTACGGTTGTCCTGCATTCCCGCAT